GTGGTTAGAAGAGTGGGAGGTATGTGGCATTAGCTTCTAATGCTGGGCATTAGATAACACCTCCCCATGATACCTTTTTGGAAAGTAGACACCCCAAACCCTATTTGCTGAGAGGCATATTGAGTCAAAAGAAGAATTTCTTTTACCACAAGTTTTTGGAAAATGAGATTTTTTTTAATGCAAAGTTGTCACATAAATGATATATTGCTCACATGCTCACACATGTCATGGATATATGTGGCATGACTCCCCAATATATACCCCGAGAAGTAGCAGAATATATTTTGGGGTGTAATTTCAAATATATCCATGGCATGTGTGAGCATTATACCATTTAAATTACAACTTTGTTTAAAACAAAAATGTCATTTTCCAAAAACTTGTGGAAAAAAATAAATCTTCCATGGACTCAACATGCCTCCCAGCAAATAGCTTAGGGTGTCTACTTTCTGAAAAGGAGTCATTTGGAGGGTGTTTGTACTGCCCTGGCATTTTTGCACCTTAAGAAATGTGATAGGCAGTCAGAAAGTAAAAGCTTCGTAAACTCCAGTATCTGTACCATAGTTTACAGATGCTATAACTTTCACACAAACCAATTAATATACATTTATTTTTTTTTCCAAAGACATGTGGCAGAATACAATTTGGCCTAAACTTATGATGAAATTTGAGTTTATTGGATATTTTTATAACAGAAATTAGAAAATGTTGTTTTTTGACATGAGTTTAAACCTTTTTTATATACAGTGCAATTGTCTTGACGGATTAATATGCATGCAATCTTTTTAAGTTTATAAATAATACTTTGGGATATTTTATAATGGAGTTCATATGTCCTCACTGATGTATTTAAAGTCATCAGTTTTCTTACACCAATTATTGATCAGATTTTTTTAAAACTAGTGCATAAATATGTCTAAATTGGCCCTAGTATGTGTATGTATGAATGTAAGTTAGGGACCTTAGATTGTATACCCATTGAGGGTTAGGGACTGTTGTGAATGTATAATATATATATATGTTAAGCGCTGAATAAATTGACGGCACTATATAAATACCTGAAATAAATAAATAATAAATAAATATGAGACAATATTTGGTTAATCCATCCTAATTGAACCTATTTTTGAACCAATCTCTTTCATTAGATGTCTATATGTTACATGTGCATGATGGCATGGATGGGCAAAGTGGAAGAAACATGTCACCTGCTAATAATGATACATTCTTCTGATAATGCGAGTTGTTTGACTGTAATACATTGTCAGCCTGTAACAAGTATGCAGATAAAAAGTTCACTCTAGCATCAGTGAATGCAAGTGACTAACTTCACAAAAAATAGCTCAGCCAGAAGCAACCAGATAATTAGCAGATAAGAGCAGGTACCTATTAGTAACCTTCCATGATTCTTTCAATGCATGTGTCCTTTAAGTTAGGAATTACGTGGTAAAAACTACTTATAAACAAGTACATTTATGTGCTGCTTATATTTATTTTAACTGACAGCCAACAAGAATAAAAGCTAAAATACAAATTACATTTTAAAAAAGAAATTAAAAATTGCAAAAAAATCATGGTCAGTTCATCTTGATATATATACTGTCCCGATATGTGCACAATGATATATTATTATACAGGATTTATATAGAGCCAACAGTTTGCTCAGCGCTTTACAATATAACAGGAGACAATACAGCTACAATACAGTTCAATACAACAGGGAAAGGAGGGCCCTGCTCCTTGGAGCTTACAATCTAGGAAATCTTTATACCTTTCTTTAGATAATGGTTGCTTTTAGGAACGCCTAAAGTTAAACTAAAGTATCTAAAGTATTAAGTATCTATCTATCTATCTATCTATCTATCTATCTATCTATCTATCTATATATATAACTACACTGTAAATATACAGTTGTGGTGAAAAGTTTGCATACCCTGGCAGAAATCGTGACATTTTGGCATTGATATTGAAATATGACTGATCATTCAAAAAAAAAACTGTCTTTTATTTAAGGATAGTGATCATATGAAGCCTCTTGAGGGCCGCTGGATTTGTTTGGGCCCCCCGAAGCTCTGCACGGTCTTGAAACATGCATTTCCACACTTGCACATTCAGAGTCAGTAAACAGTACTTGAGCTGGTTTTAGTTGTTTTTATTAAGGGGTTAATAACTTGGATGGGGTCTAGACCTAGGGGTATATGGGATGCCCAAGAAACTGTAAACTTGAGAACAAACTTCTTAGCAACAACACTGTACAAGAAAAAGTCGATCAAAAATAGCAACTGTCTCTGCTAAGGAGCCCCCCTGGTGTACCTTTTCAGACCCCAGATGAATCCTCCTCTTCACACAACTGCACTGAGGGCATCCCTGGGCAAGGGATTCCAAGATCTAGTGGTTAAGTAGTCCCGGATGAAAACTAGTTGGGTCTTACACCTGACTGCCCTGTCCTTTTATCTGGCCCAGAGGGTTTAGGAATACTCACACTGTCCTATCCTGTCAGCACAAGGGGTTGGTAGCTGTTTTCAGGCTTTTTGCTGGGCTGGTTCCTTCCCTGCTACACAAAATGTCCTCCCTAAGAGATTTGGCACACTTTCTAGTATCCTGCCTGTAGGTAGGCTCCCCTCCTTAAGGCCCCCTACCAGGCTCCACACTCCAGTCTTCTCTCAATTCATCTTCCACCCGACTTGCCTGCTGCTCAGGCACTGCCGAACCATTTAAGGGTTGTCCTTGATCACTGTGCCAGGCCTCCTGCCTGGGGATTTGCCAAGTTCTCTTAAATATGCAGATCTAGGCTCCATCCCCTTCTCTACCCCTGTTCTAGAAGGTTCTCTGAGTTTCTAGAAGTATGGAAGGGCTCCAGAAGCCCTAACATGTAGAGCCTCCCAGCCTGCCCTGAGGTGAACTCACCACCTCAATTCCAGGCTGACTCATCCCAGGCTGCTACCCAGCCTCTAATTTCAAAAATCATGCCTAGCTACCCTAAAGGGCACTACATCTGTATCATTAGCCAATGAGTTTATTAGCTCTCACATGGATGCACTGAACAAGCTAGATACTGAGCCATGGGGCACAGAAAAGAAAGGTCAAAAGGCCTACATAACAAGGTAATGGAGATTTATAAAGATGGAAAAGATATAAAAAGCTATCTACAGCCTTGAATATGCTTGTCAGTACTGTTCAGTCACTTATTAAGAAGTGAAAAGTTTGGGGATCTCTGGATACCAAGCCAAGGTCAGGTATACCAAGAAAGATTGCAATCACTGCCAGAAGATTTGTTTGGGATACAAAGAAAAACCCACAAGTAACCTCAGGAGAAATACACGTTGCTTTGGAAGAAGACAGTGTGTTTCTTTTAAAGAGCACAATACAACGATACTTGAAAAAAATTAGTTGCATGGTCAAGTTGCCAGAAAGAAGCCTTTACTGCGCCAATGCCACAAAAAAGCCCAGTGATGAAAAAGTCACTTACAAGTAACGGTTCATGCAATCGCCAAAGGTTGGATACGACTGGATAGATAGATATATATATATTCACAGGTGCACCTCAATAAATTAGAATATCATCAAAAAGTTAATTTATTTCAGTAATTCAGATAAAAAAAGTGAAATTCATATATTATATAGATTCACTACACCCAGAGTAATACATTTCAAGCATTTTGCTCTTTTAATTTTGATGATTATGGCCTACAGTTAGTGAAAACATGAAATTCAGTACCTCCGAAAATTTCAATATTACATAAGACTGAAAAAAAAAAAAAGCATTTTTTAATACAGAAATGTTGGCTTACTGAAAAATATGTCCATGTACAGCATAGTATGCATTCAATACTTTTGCATGAATTCCTGCATCAATGTGGCATGGCATGGAGGCGATCAGCCTGTGGCACTACAGAGGTGTTATGGAAGCCCAGGTTGCTTTGATAGCAACCTTAAGCTATTCCACATTGTCGGGTCTGGTGTCTCTCATCTTCCACTTGATAATACCCCACAGATTCTCTATGGGGTTTAAGTCAGGTGAGTTTTCTGGCCAATCAAGCACAGTGATACCATGATCATTAAAGCAGGTATTGGTACTTTTGGCAGTGTGGGCAGGTGCCAAGTCCTGCTGGAAAATGAAATCAGCATCCCCATAAAGCTGGTCAGCACAGGGAAGCATGAAGTGCTCCAAAATCTCCCGCAGAGGGCTGCGCTGACTTTGGACTTAATAAAACGCAGTGGACCAACACCAGCAGGTGACATGGCTTCTGAAATCATCACTGACAGTGGAAACTTCATGCTGGACCTCATGCAACTTGGATTCTGTTCCTCTCCACTCTTCCTCCTGACTCTGGGACCTTGATTTCCAAATTAAATGCAAAATTTACTTTGGACCAACAAGTAACAGTCCAGTTCTTTTCTCCATAGCCCAGGTAAAACACTTCTGATGTTGTCTCTGGTTCAGGTGTGGCTTGACACAAGGAATGTGACAGTTGTAGCCCATATCCTGGATACATCTGTGCCTTGTGTCTCTTGAAGCACTGACACCAGCCGTAGTTCACTCCTTGTGAATCTCCCCAGAATTCTTGAATGACCTTTGCTTCACAATCCTCTCAAGGCTGCGGTTATCCCTGTTGCTTGGGCACCTTTTTATACTACAATTTTTCCTTCTACTCAACTTTTCATTAATATGCTTGGATACAGCACTATGTAATCAGTCAGATTCTGTAGCAATGACCTTTTGTGACTTGCCCTTCTTGTGGCGGGTTTCAATGACTATCTTCGGGACAACTGTCAAGTCAGCAGTCTTCCCCATGATTGTATAAGCTACTGAACAAGACTGAAAGACCATTTAAAGGCTCAGGAAACGTTTAGAGGCATTTTGTGTTAATTAGCTGATAAACGTGTGATACCAAACTCCACTGTGAGTCTACAACAGGGCTTAAAATTCTGAGTTACTAGCCAGGCCTTAAGAGTTATTTGCCACCAACAAACACACACAAACAGAGACACCTGTACACACACACAGACATGTACTGTACATACACACACATACACATAGAGAAATATGTACACACACACGCACAGAGACACATGTGCACACACACGCACATACAGACACATGTATGTACAGACACACATACACACAGATACATGTACATACACAGAAATACACACGCACAGACACATGTACAAAGTTGCAGTACTTCGTTGTTCACTCACAGAGCCGGGTACTGCACTCTAGGGGGAGGCAGGGAGCACAGCACACACTCCTTGCTTTGCTTTCACTGCACTCAGCTATTGAGCAGTCTGATGGCTCCCAGTGCCAATGACAGATCCGGCCTGAGCTCCGAGCCTGCTCAGCAAGACAGCCCTGGGGGACACACTTGCCCCCACCATAATTTCCACTCGCCATTGGCGAGCAGGCAAGTGGAAATTTCAAGGCCTGGTCTACAATATTGAATTTTTTTGCAATATTCAAATTTTCTGAGATATTGAGATTTGGGTTTTCACTAGCCGTAAGCCATATTAATCAAATTAAAAGAAAGAAAATGCTTGAGATATATCACTCTGTGTGTAATGAATCTATATAATATATGAATTTCACTTTTATAATTGAATTACTGAAATAAATGAACTTTTTGATGATATCCTAATTTATTGAGATGCACTTGTGTATATATATATATATATATATATATATATATATATATATATATATATATATATACACAGTATATATATATATATATATACTAAAAGTTTTAATGGCAATCCAGTCTTAGTACGTAGGATTCAATACTGAGTTTGCCCCCCCCCCCCTTTGCAGCTATAACAGCTTCAACCTTTCTAAAAAGACTGTCCACAAGGTTTAGGAGTGTGTCTATGGGAATGTTTGACCATTCTTCCACAAGTGCATTTGTGAGGTCAGGCACTGATGTTGGATGAGAAGGCCTGGCTCACAGTCTCTGCTCTAATTCATCCCAAAGGTGTTCTATTGGGTTGAGATCAGGATTCTGTGCAGGCCTGTCAAGTTCCTGCACCCCAAACTCACTCACCCCATTTTTTTATGGACTTTTCTTTGTGCACTGGTGTACAATCATGTTGTCACAGTCAAGTTGGAACAGGAAGGGGCCTTCCCCAAACTGTTCCCACAAAGCTGGGAGCATGACATTGGCCAAAATGTCCTGGCATGCTGATACCTTAAGAGTTCTAGAGTTCAGTGGTGGCGTGCTTTGCATTGCACTTAGTGGTGGCTTGGATGCAGTTGCTCGGCCATGGAAACCCATTCCATTAAGCTCTCTATGCACTGTTGTGCTAATCTGAAAGCCACATGAAGTTTGGAGGTCTTTAGCTAATGACTCTGCAGACAGTTGGCGACTTTTGCGCACTGTGCACTTCAGCATGCGCTGATCCAGTTCTGTCATTTTACATGGCCTACCACTTCTTGGCTGAGTTGCTGTTGTTCCCAATTGCTTCCATTTTGTTATAATACCACTAACAGTTGACTGTGGAATATTTAGTAACAAAGAAATTTCATGGATGAATTATTGCACAGGTGGCAACCTATCACGGTACCACGCTTGAATTCACTGAGCTCTTGAGAGAGCCCATTATTTCACAAATGTTTGGAGAAGCAGTCTGCATGCCAAGGTGCTTGACTTTATTCACCTGTGGCCATGGAGGGGATTGGAACACTTGAAATCAATGGTTTCGAAGAGTGTCTTGATACTTTTGGCAATATAGTATATGTGGAGAGTGGGGATCACAGAGCCTCCTTAACCTCCCTAGCGGTATGATTATTTCAGATTTTTGGTGCTGAAAGCGGTACCATTATTTTGCATGGAAATATGTAGTTTTTTTATTGTAGGCTGTAATGTTTAGGAATAACTCACTGAAATCTGTCCGAACAAGAGTCTATTAAACATCCCGGGTATGATAAAATTTGAAACACAAAATCATAAATTATAATTTAATAAATAATCATAAAAAATAATAATATAATAATAATACATTTAATTCAATAATATAATCAAACCAAAAACACTGAAATTTTAAATATATAGCGCCAAGTTCGCACATCATTGAGCAAAGTCGCAAAATTGTTTTCAGTGTCTGATGACGAATTTCTCCACGAATCATTATCACTCAATTCTGCAAGTGGTTCTGATTTACTATCGCTGTTCTCTAGCTGATCTAAACCCGCTTTTGACCTAAAGGGACGCTTTTTGGACACCATGGACTTTTCTAAGTTTCCAGGCAGAAAGGTCAAAATGCAGACAGGGGACAGGACAAAGCACTAGGGACAAAATGTATGTGAAATGGTTTGAAACAGCAATGTTTTACTATGTAAAATTTGTTTTGAAAAAAATGACTTTTTTAAAAAATTTCAAATTTCCCGCCGCCGGCGGCGCCCGTACGTCCCGACGTCACAGGGACCGGAACACAGAAGCCGGATGCCGGATGCCGGCATCAGCCGGAGGAGATGGCCGGGGATGCTGCAGGGGACACATCGCGGGAGCGAAGGACAAGGTAAGCTCTGCAGGGACTCCCTATGCAGCGCCGCATGGTGTATCTCGGGGTTACCGCTTTTGGTACTGACATTTTACCCCGAGCTACACTCGGGAATACCGCTAGGGAGGTTAAACTTGGATTTTATAATCTTAATTTGTTTTTCTTTTATTTAGTTATATGCCACTGGATTTAGCAAATACATTTTTGGGGGACTTTTATTTTGCTTAAGTAAAGGACTTAGGTTGTCCAGATTCAATTTTTTGTGAATCGGTGGAGGTACTATGTACCCATACTCCTTCACTTGGGATGGGGCAGTATCAAGGGGCCTTTTATTTTTAAAGGGGGCTTCCAGATTCCAATAAGCCCCCCCGCCCATATAACCCCTACAACCACCAGGCCAGAGTTGTGTGGGAGAGGTCCTTGTCCTCATTAACACGGAGACAAGTTTCTTTGACAGGAGGACCCCCACTTCCATAAGAACCCCCCCCAAGCTGAGGGCACATAGCCTGGCATGGTTTGGGTGGGGAGGGAGGGGAGCACACTTACGCACACAAAACACCCACCCCCTCAATTTCCTGGCTAGAATGCTTAGATTAAGGGGGGGGTTTGCTGTAGAATGTGCTGGAACACCCGAATCCAATGATATGGAGGGGTATCCCAATGCTTTTGACAATATAGTGTATAGGAGTTAAAAGTCCCTGACTGCTTTAGGGGTTCACAGAAAGGTTGCCACAGCTAGCAGTGTCTCGGCAAATAACAGCATACAGCTATTCCTTACAAACATGCCTTACTCCACCGTTCTCCTCTACCTTCTGACTGCTTCTTGCCCTTTTCAGCTTTCTCTTCCAGGCATGCCAACCCCTACAGGCCCAAGATACCCATAGTCAAAGTTGGAGGCTCTTTCCCACCTAAAAATCTTTCTGAGCCTCCGAATTCAGGTCCCATATCAGGACTTGCCAATACTGAGAAAACTGTAAATTGAAATTCTCGTTTCTAACCTAATCTCCTGGAACCCCTCACCCTGCATAGGTGAGAACCCCTGAGTACTCCAAAAATGTCTCTTATCAACCCCCCCCTTAAAGGGCACATTTCTCTCATCCAGCACCCATCCTCGACATCATGTGCAATATATATATTATAAATAAACATAAGGTAAAGATGTATCAATGACTTTGCATTTGCAGAGCACGCATGGCTTTCTAATAAGAAAGACCAGAACTGCTTTCCCTTTTTTGTGCCTCTGTATAAATAAATATCCACACAGGACTGTATGAGTTAAGAAAGAGGAAAGAGGGGAAAGTGTACTCATCCTCTGACCAGTGTGTGTATGTGTGTGTGCGTGCGTGCGTGCGTGCGTGCGTGCGTGTTTCCTGTAAATAAAACTCAAAATGAAGAGACAAAGGCATTGGAGAGCAGTCTTGAGGGCACTAACTGCTTATTGCAAGATAAAAAAATATTCATATGCAATATGTTTATAAGAAATAGATTAAATGGATACAAATGAAAACCATCTCAATTTCAACTGTGGACATCATAAATATATAACTTTGCAAAGTTACATTTGCACATATGCAGTATATTAAAGGTATGCGGTTTGTGATGTACTAGCTTGTACAAGCTTTAGGTTAAACAAGTTAATTTTACATGCCGTATCAAAAATTCTGAAGAAGAAAATTCTAGCAGAATATATAGAATGTTTTTTTATTTAATATAAATGTGTGGTAATAGATACAAAAATAATTATTGTAACCCTTTGTAATTTAAAAATCACTAAAATAAATAACAAAATTATATGAAGAGTAGAAAAAACATATATAAAGAATTTTAAGTTTCTGCTACTAAACATTGCTTTATTTTACTTTAGTATATAACAAACAATTTATTACATTTATTATTTCAATTGCAATCATTTTAAAATTAATTTTCGAAAGCAAATTATTGAGAAATGTTTCCATTTTCACATGCACAGTGGTATTAACATGTCGGTCACGAATTAAAAGACCAACCTTTGAGCATTTTTGCAGATTTTTTTTTTTTTTTCTCCTCTTATGAGGGAACAGTTTATATGCCGTTCAGTGAACCAAATAAAGAATGTGATTCAAGCTGTCTCTGCAGCTTAATGGCAAAAGGAAGAATGCACTATAAAAACTAGCCTCCTACAGCTCTTAGTTCTTGCTTCCCACACTTTAACATCTCCTGTCACCCCAAGCTCTGTTACTGACCCATGCTAAGTTAAACTAAAGGATGATAAGTTTGCTGCCTTTGCCCTTGTCCTAGGGGGCTGTGCATTATCCTATCAAGCATCAGTAGCCATTTCAGAGGAATATTTGTCAACCCACGAAGGCCTTTAGAACAAATGAAATAGACAGTGGATTGCAAAAATGTCGCTTTGTAAAGGAAATGGATGAAGGCTTTTGTTCTTTAGTAATAAATAGTTGCCATTGGCTTATAACAATGATTTTTTTATGTCATTTGACAGAGTTACTATTTCCAGTTCAATATAGAAACAGGTTGAAAAATATTTTCTCTGTCTTTTTAAAATAATAACGTTGTGGTGTTGCTGTATTCTATCGTGGCAATAAATAATAGGTTGTAATAAATATCTGTCAAGCGTCAAAATAAAACATGACAAATAAAAAATCATTTTACGTAGGAATGTCCCACACAGTAATAAACATGATTTGTGTAAGCTGATTAATGGGAATTCAAAAGGAATAGCTATTAGAACACTTACAGTAATTAATATACAGGTTAATAAGTAAGGAAGCCAGCAATAGTAGACTGACAAGCAGCATCAGGACTAGTGCAGCATTCATGCAAAACCTCTCATAGATATTTAAAAGAATTAAAGCAGATGCATAGTGAGTAATTCAGGAACCTGATGCTAAAGTAACAATGTCACCAAATGTTTGCTTATAATTATATGCCCATTAAATGTTGTATTGGTTACTGGATCCCAGTTATAAAAGTCTAGTATAGTAATGACTCTAACGGATTAGACTTTAGTTCCTACACTGTTATTAAAGTTACTCAGCACGGTGGTTTCCTATGCTATTCATTAAGAACTTACCAGAGATAAATGTTTTTTGTTTTTGGTTTAATAATTTAATTACTTGTGCAAGAGTGTAATGCTGGCCATAGATTCAGCAGGGATCAGCTGAATTTTGATCCATGTGTGGCTACTCCTGCTTCACAGAAGTCAGTCCAATGATTGGCTACTATTATACGGGCTCGCAGAATACAACATCCTGGTGGGGAAGATTCCTCTATCCACCTGATTGTGTGGATAGAGGAATATGATCTTTTTTTTCAATCAGCTAGCTGCTGATCAAAAAAAAAAAAAGAGTAATCTATGGCCAGGAGGACGGATAAATTGGAATTATTATAATTCTGGGGGAGGACAGCAGTGTCTGGTGGTTCCTGGAGATATTTGATCCTACTTTTATATGACTTGCTTAATATTAAGGGTCATATGCTGTACTTCTGGTGAGAGTTTTATATGAATATTGGTTTGCACACGGAGGTGGACCATGGAGTAGAAGCACACAGTGTTATCAGTTTTGTATAAATGTGAACTTTCCTATAAAGATACATGAGCTTAAGCACCAGAGTGTGGCAGTTGGATTATTATATTTGAACACATATCGTTAATTATTAATTTATTATTATTTATCCAATAATAATTTATTTTTACATTGTAATATTTTTATTGTACATATTTTCACAAGATATTTTGCCCAGGGCTAATGACAGAGCACTAATGTGTTAATTACTGTATATATATTTTTTAAAGGAAAAGAACAGACAAGGGCACACCCTCATCGTGCATTACCGTGGTAGAACACGTGTTTATTGAATAAAAAGAGGATATATACTCACAAACCAATGTGATTAAAATCAGTATAAGTGGTCCACAAAGACAGTCACAATACATCTGTGTCTAATGATGCGGATAAGTTGACGCGTTTCGGGAGCTGAACCCCCTTCCTCAGAGCTAGAGATGTGCCTGCTGGCCACAAGCCTATATACTAATGGAATGTCAGAAGGAGGGTGGATAAACCCTCCCACCCAGCTGACCAATGACAAAAAAAAAAAAAAAAGGACCTATATTGTCATAAAACCAGAAACAATAATCAGTGTGCTGTGTACATAGCACACTCTTATCCATATATGGTACATATATTATATATTATAAATACTAATAAATAGATTGATGAATAAATAAATACATAGATGCATGGTACATGGTGTATAGTAAAACATTAATAAATGATATATAGATAAATAGGTAGATAATGTATGATAAATAGATGCTAGGGGCGTACTCACCTCCAAGGATGTAACCCTGATGGTGGATGCACCACTTCAATATGCCCATATGGAAATGAACTGCCACTGAAACATGTGTGTACACCATAGGTGCACTCAGGGGCGGACTGACAACTCATAGGGCCCCCAGGCAATAGGGGATCATGGGGCCCCTGTGTCCTTGCCCATACTCAAAAAAGCCTATGAAAAAGGTACCAGGGGCATCTTATGGGGCCCCCTACTGACCCCGGGCCCTCGGGCAGTGCCCGAGTTTCCAAATGGTCAGTCCGCCCCTGGGTGCACTTGAATCAACACGGTGTACACACATGTTTCCGGGCGGTGGCAGTTCATTTCCATATGGGCATATAGAAGTGGTGCATCTACCATCAGGGTTACATCCTTGGAGGTGAGTACGCCACTAGCATCTATTTATCATTCATTATCTACCTATTTATCTATATATCATTTATTAATGTTTTACTATACACCATGTACCATGCATCTATGTATTTAGTTATTCATCAATTTATTTATTAGTATTTATAATATATAATATATGTACCATATATGGATAAGAGTGTGCTATGTACACAGCACACTGATTGTTGTTTCTGGTTTTATGACAACATAGGTCCTTTCTTTTTTTTTTTTTCATTGGTCAGCTGGGTGGGAGGGTTTATCCACCCTCCTTCTGACATTCCATTAGTATATAGGCTTGTGGCCAGCAGGCACATCTCTAGCTCTGAGGAAGGGGGTTCAGCTCCCGAAACGCATCAGCGTATCCGCATCATTAGACACAGATGTATTGTGACTGTCTTTGTGGACCACTTATACTGCTTTTAATCACGTTGGTTTGTGAGTATATATCCTCTTTTTATTCAATAAACACGTGTTCTACCACGGTAATGCACAATGAGAGTGCGCCCTTGTCTGTTCTTTTCCACTAGTGGTCAGATTTCCTGATCTTGGAAGGGCAGCACCTCTTCGGTTTACATTTTGGCACCTCCTGGTTGTATGAAGACTGGAGCGCTGGTTTCGTTCGTTTATCTTTTGGAGTATATTTTTTAAAGGGTTCTAGCTACATATCACTGGTTTACTGAAGTACCTTACTTACTTGTCCATGGGGATAGGTTTTTCTCCAGCTGCTTTAGGGTGAAATATCATAAACTAGTACTAGTGCAGGTTTTTTATGTAAATAATCTATGGCCAAATTTAGTTCTAGTTAGGGCTGGAACGGTGGATAGACAAAGGAAGCAGCCACACTGCATTTCAGAAAGGAGGGGGGTACAGAGTATGCTAAAATTGCAACTTATGCTGTTAAGTTAGCAATTCATAATCCATAGTTATTATCAGACTGCCTGTCCTTTTCCAGTACATAAATATCATACTAACCACAAGGAATGCTTTGAATATGAAACATCTTGTGCTTTAATTACGCTGCATAAGGCCAACCTAAGCTCTGACATCTTATGCTAAAGTGCTAATTTGGATTTTTTTAAACTCTGATGGCAGCTGTGTTGGAACTGCTTGAGAAGTTCAGTTTCTGCCAGTTTTCCACCAGCCTGACCCCTGATCACATTGCATACATATAAAAATAGAAAGATAAACAATTAAAAAATATTATCAAGAATATAAAAAAAATTCATTTAATATTATTCATGAAGCAGTTAAGATTGAAATCAATATTTAATCCTCTTGGAGATAAAGTTTTTAATTAAAAGATTCATGTACATTTTTTTCTGCTTAATTCTCTTTTTTATTGTTACCCCTCAATGTTTTATATATCTCATAATGCCCCAGAATTGTACACCAATAGGGTCCCTATTGTTATACAAAAGAAAATATGATATTTTTTAAAACTTGTGATTATGTTGTAAACATGTTGTTTTATTTGCTTTGCTTGTATTTTTGTACACCTCACATACTGCAGTCCACAGGGGCACTGAAGCACTTGTATTACCCCTTCTGTAGAACATGAAATAAAATCCTTAATTCTATAATTTTTATTTGTAACATGTGATCTAAACCTTTCTCTTCCTTTTATATTCTCTTTGACTCTGTCTAAAGAAAAGCAATATAAACAGGAAATGGAGAGATTATTAGGTGTTTAAAATACATATCAGATATTAGGTCATAACAACATCGATATATAAAAAAAGAGCTAGAAAATCTGGTAAAGTAAGGAGCCAGAGAATGGATTTTAAATAAGAAGGATAAGAGATTCTAGTTTCATTGTCATGTAGAGAACTGGCTATTTATATGATTATAAGATTGCTTTCAGTTCACAACAAAAGAGTCTTGGTTGATGTTTATGTTATTTCTTGAGGTGAATTGACACAAAAGACATTTTGGATAAACATATTTTTGCACTATATTTTAGTATTTCTGAAAAGCTGGTTGGTGAAATGTTTGATCACATATGTATGGGTATATGGTGATTTATTTTGAACTCGAGTAGCACTGCTTTACATAAATATATGCAGTATACTGAGAAATAGACAAAATGGCAGTGAATGGGAGACCATATTCCCCTTGGTTGATTAAAAGAGAAGTATGGTATTTGCAAAAAAAAATAATACTCACCTAGATGGATACAGCATCAATCCGATGCTGCATCTGTTCCCTGCCATCTCTGCACTGAGAACTGTTCTCAGCATTCTGTGAGCAGATAGCTATGGACTGTAGCACTGGGCTGTTTGGTAGGGGGGTCAGGAGTGGCAGGAATCAGGCTTTCAGAGGATCGCCGACAGGCTAAGCCCACTGCTGGTCCTGGCTTCTGTTTAAGTCAAGACCATATGGATGGGATCTTTTCAGGGCCTAGACCAGCTCTGTGATGTCAACATACAGTGGGCTTCAGCCTGCTGTCAGCTGAAAAAGGATCACAGGCGTGCAGAATGAACACTCCTGTGATCCAGAGGAGAAGTATAGTCAAAATATTTATATAACTGAATCAATTTTCTTTCTTTTGGGACAGTACAGTAAGTTGCCTTTGAACATGCACAAAGTTACAATTAAATTACGGTATATGTATTTATAAACTAACATTGAGGTGAATTGGTTTTATACAAACACTAAAGTAAACCAAAGCTATGGGCAGCACAGTAGCTAAATGGTTAGCACTTCTGCCTGGCAGTACTAGGGTTGTGGGTTCAAATCCCTACCACAGCACCACCTGCCTGGAGTTTGCATGTTCTGCCTGTGCTTGCATGAGTTTCCTCCGGGTACTCTGGTTTCCTCCCCCACTCCAAAGACATGCTGATAGATGAACTGGATCCTGTTGAAATTGGCCCTAGTATGTGTATGTATGAATGTGAGTTAGGGACCTTAGATTGTACGCCCCCTTGAGGGTTAGGGACTGATGTGAATGTACAATATATATGTAAAGCGCTGCGTAAACTGATGGCGCTACATAAGTACCTGAAATAAATAAAGCTGGCCACATTATTACTATCTGACTGGGCAATCTCCTTTACATTTATCAATGATTGTGTAATGCTACAGTCAACCTAAAAATAAATTAAACAATTATTTTGAGTAGGCTCTTTTGCTACGTTTGTTAATACACCTAAATAAGTTTTATGGAAATTGTACAATCAGATTGCTACATGTGTTACTAGTTTTAGCAGAGTTAAATAATTATACAAATATTTTGAAATTGAATTTGATGGACAAGAAAACATATTCTTATTTTCATTGTGTATATATATATATATATATATATATATATATATATATAATTTTTTTTATTTTCCTTGCAAATAATTAGCTAGTTTTTGCAAAGTGAAACTTCACCACATTCATGAATCTCTGGGGTAAATTCTCTTGCAAAGTGCAACCTCCCTTGCAAAGTAAAGAGCCTTTACTAAATTAATTCAATATTGACCTTAAATATCAGATATATTCAAGTCCAGTAATGTAAGATATAAAAGTAGCAAACTCCCAAGTAGGATCTCACAACCAATTTTTTATATACTCAAACTATTCTGTTTGAAGTCTAATTTTGGGGGGATACCATTATAAAGAAACTGAGACTTCTTGATGAAAAATTTGCATAGCCATTCATCCAGCAAATCTGCATTAGTTCTGTGTGAATTACGTAAAAATTAATTTCAATAGGCTATTTTTTCTAATTCTATAAGAATGTTACCCTATATTATTTTGGGCAGTAGTGGAGCTGGGGAGTTTAGGAAATGCATACATCTTTGTAACAAGACATACAATGCAGAATTTCTAGAAAGTGCTAGCAGGAATAAGGAAATAAATGCAATCATTGGTAATGGCCCTGCTGAACTAATGCACAATTTACCAACTACCAATAATGCATTTTCTGCCCATTAATCCTTTATCAGGTGGCTTAGAAGGGCCAGTATAGTGGGTGTTTGGATAAGCCAGCTACCTTACTATAGAATGTTGGGTTCCCAACAGTCATATTAAGAAAGGTCTTAGCTGTGGTAGAGAAAGCATAGGGAGTGCTGTGGATAAAATGCATGGGGACAATTAGTGTAGAGTTTGTAAGCACTGGTCTCTTAAAGTAAATGTAAACTTTTACAAAATGTCTTTTAGGAGAGAAAAATGCTATGTATCTTGAGGAGTAGGGGAGAGAAAGATTTTACATGCTGCTGATGTGTGTACTGTAGCTTCTTTACAGCCTCTCCACATGCATGACAGTCAGGAAAGGCTACATGTGTCTTTTTCAAATTTGTGACAGTTGCCATTGATTTTTTTCACAGCCTGTATGTCAGGAAGATCAAGTACATGACCATGCCTGAAGATCTGCGTATGTGCATTGAGCAGTTTGTGGACCAGTACACAGGACTGTGCATGCTTCTACATGTGTAGATTAATGTGAATTTGTATGCAGATCTAGCACTGTTTTTTTGTACCCAGTGGCCCATTGAAGGAATAAGAGAACAAAAGGGAATTGGTGAGTAGTCATCAGTTTCAGTGACCTGTGACCAGACCTGCATCCTGATTATCTTGTGTTTTGACCTGGCTTGCCTCCTGACCCTGCTTGAATCTGATCCCCTGTTGTTGACCCCGGATTGTGTTATAATTCTACCTGCTGTTTTGTACTTCTTCTGCCATCTGTTATCAGTCCTGGTCTGGTTTCTGACTCTGCTTCTGACTTCTGAATTGGTACCTCTTCTGTCTAGTTATTGCAGACTCTGGCATACTTTGACAATGGCTTTGACTCCTACACCTGAGAATTCTTGTGCTCCATCTGTGTGAAATCATTCTGCACTAAGGTTCCAGTCCTGTATCCAGAGCATTTCAGCAGTATTGAGACTGTCATCTGTGCACC